GCAAATGTTGCCTAGCATTTAGCGTCAAGTCCTAACTCCTTATTCCCCAGAAAAATATACCCTCAAGGTTATAGCAGGACTTGCTTTCACGACTTTCCCTACCTCACCGCTATCCTAGCGCAGCCGGAGTGACTCAAACCATGCTTTTCACGCCTTCTCTGTTACAGGCGGCCTCAGCGACCCATCTCAAATTCCCATATGCTGACGACCCGAATCTACTGGGCCGGCTATGCTCATTGGTGTGTGATGGGTTCCGGCGAACTTACCCGCATATTGGATGTGGTGGTTGCAAAACCCCTGCCTAACCGGCTAGACTTGTGATCACGAACGCCTCGTTGACGTGGTTGCCTCCCAAGTGAATGGGTGTGTATCTTCTTCTGTAGTTCGACTATATAAAATAGCAAACGTCTCGCACATTCAAGACTTAGAGATTTCACACACTTCACTAGTTCGACATCCCCTTGTCTTTCTACTCCATACTATACAAGAGGAAGCATCTCAACTGTCTTACCTCTTATCATCAACGAGATATCTCAACCCAACCAGACCGATTGTATAACATAGACTCACATTGTTTCCCCTCGAGCTGGCCTCATTTTCTCAGCTTTTACAGACAATGGACACAATCACAGATACCGGCTACGCCGACCCCATCAACACCTCATCCAGCACGGCTCAGCCTCCTCCTCAACTGGCACTGCTGGACTTCTTCTTCCCAGGCTTCAGCGTTTTCACAACAGCCTTCCAAAAGTACCTCGGAATCGACCTAAATGTCTATATCCCCCTAGTGATCCTCTGCGGCGGCGCCACCTTTGCCTGGAGGTACTTTAGCGAGTACCTCTGGGAAAAGGTCGAGAAGCACCTCATGTCGACAGTCGAAGTCCGCACCGACGACGAGATCTACAACATCCTCATGTCCTGGGTCGCCGCCCAAAAGTTTGCCAAGAACTCGCGGCGTTTCGTTGTCAACACCAACCTAAGCTCCCGTTCCTGGTTCCTCTGGCGCTGGGACGACGAGGAGGAGGAGTCGGACGAGTCCTCCGACGGCGGCCTCGTCGAGATCTCGGGCCAGAAGAAGAAGCCCCTCGCCTACACCCCCAGCTTCGGCAGCCACTCGTTCTGGTACCGCGGTCACCTTCTCCTCTTCAAGCGCAGCCAGAACCGCGAGCAGGCCTCCTACCTCGTCGTCAGCGAGCGCGAGGAGATCAGCCTCTCGTGCTTCGGCCGCAACCCCTGGGTCCTCAAGGAGCTCCTCCAGGAGGCCCGCGCCGAGTACCTCAAGAAAGACTCGCAAAAGACTATGATCTACCGTGGGAGCACCCGCGCCGGCACCACAGAGCCTACGTGGCAGCGATGCATGGCCCGCACTTCCCGGCCTTTCTCGACCGTCATCCTCAACGAGAAGACCAAGAAGGAGCTCGTCGACGACGTCGCCGACTACCTCTCCCCCGTGACTCGCAAGTGGTACTCCAACCGCGGCATCCCCTGGCGCCGGGGTTACCTCCTGACGGGTCCCCCCGGCACCGGCAAGTCCTCGCTCTCGCTCGCCCTGGCCGGCTTCTTCAAGATGCGCATCTACATCGTGAGCCTGAGCTCCATCTCAGCCAACGAGGAGAACCTGGCTACCCTGTTCGCCGAGCTGCCCCGGCGGTGCGTGGTCCTCCTGGAGGACATTGACACCGCCGGCCTGACGCACACCCGCGAGAATGGCACAGGAACCGGTAGCGATGCCGCAGACGCCAAGGACGGAAGCGGCGACATGGTGCCCGGCCAACTGACCGTAGGCAACGGGGCCAACAACACCAGCGGCCGCCTCTCACTATCCGGTCTGCTCAACATCCTCGACGGCGTCGCCAGCCAGGAGGGCCGCGTCCTGATCATGACCACCAACCACGTCGAGAAGCTCGACAAGGCCCTCATCCGACCGGGCCGCGTCGACCAGATTGTGAAGTTCACCTTGGCCGACGGCGAAATCATTGGTGCCATCTTCCGTGCCATCTACGCACCCCTCGAGGGCGACGAGGACATTGCCGCGCAGCCCCTCCAGGAGCACAAGCAACTGATCGGTGACGCTCTTGAGGACGACGACGACGAGAAGAAGAAAAAGCTTGCCGAGCAAGCCGCCGCCCGCACCGCAGAGATCGTAGCCGCCGTCGAGGCCCTCTCCGAGACTTTCGTCGCCCGCATCCCCGCGCACGAGTTCAGCCCGGCCGAGATTCAGGGGTACCTCATGAAGCACAAGCGCAGCGCCGAGGCCGCGGTCGCGGGCGCGGCGGAGTGGGTGACGGAGACGCGCAAGGAGAAGAAGGAAAAGGAGCTCAAGGCCGCCGAGGAGAAGCGAGCGGCCGAGGCCAAGCAGAAAGAAGAAGAGGAGAAGAAGCGCAAGGAGGAGGCTGAGGAGAAGGAGAAGGAGGCCAAGGAGAAGCGTAAGGAGGAGAGGGAGAAGAAGCGTAAGGCGGAGAAGAAGAGCAAGAAGAGTAAGCGAAATAAGAACAAGGAGGCGGCTTCTTCTGATTCATCTTCTTCCGACTCGGATTCTGGCTCCGGCTCGGAATCGGAGGCCCCCGCCAAGGGTTCGGAGAAGAAGACTGCGGAGGAGCCGGTCGTGGTCTCGGGGGCCAAGGCCGAGCACGGGGCTGAGGATGTCACGCAAAAGCGAGACTCGGGTTACGGTACTCCAGTGGAGGTTTGAGAAAGCTGGAACCCTGCATCACAATGTATTTGAGGCGTTTGTTTCTTTGCCGTTTCTGTATACTTCTTCTTTTGCATTAACCGGCGTCTGGGCGGCCGGTTTAGATGGGGAGATCCGGAGGAGAACTGCGATCCCATGTCATAGCGTTACATCTTCAAAGGGTTTCATTCTGATTTCATCGAGCCTAGAAAGAAATGCATGGTTAATGTCCATCTTCTAGCGTAGAACAACAGGCGAATAAATAAGCCATAAAACAAGGATACAATAAGATTGTGACTGTCAACGAACCATCTAGGGCATTGAACAAAGTAAATGATATTGTCAACGTTGGCCAGACTTAGAAACCCTCGTACCTGGTCGCGTCTGGACTAGCACCACAATGGCTGCCATCAACAACTGACGACTGTGTGCTCAGTCGCTTCATCAGCTTAGTCGATTTGGACTCTAAAGGCACAAACTGGTTGCTCGAGCACTCTCGTCTCCTCTGAATCATGCCTCGTAGGGTGGGCGCATCCGGCCAGCCTGAAGATACCTTCATTGTCCAGAGAATGCTCATTTTGCCGGCAGCATTCTACTGAAATCATCAAAACTTCAGAACTTGTCCCTTCTTTAGGCATTGCGGTACGTAAATATCGCAGAGCATTTCTGTCAGGCCGTATTCAGAAGTAAACCACGTTTCTCGATCCCGCAGCGGCATTCGGAAGATGCGAGTGAGTAAATCGTTCAATATGTCCTTTCAAGTGAAGTTGCAGACGACCTTCACAAACTGGGTTTATCACTTCCGGCTCCACCGTGGATCAATGTTCGTCTTACTACTTCTTCTGGCCGTCTCTATATTTATGCGGTGCAAAGAGCTTCAATGACTCTACTTAGGAATCATCGTCTGATTTCTCCATCTCGAGCCTGAGAGAGAGGGATAAGGGCAAAGGCTGCGAAACATGGTCGTCAGATCTCTGCTTCCAGGGGATTCCTCACCGTATCTCAACTAGCACGAGCTTAACATAGAATTAGACCATGAGCCAAGGGTCTCCAGAAATCTATTCGATTCTGAGCCTATCGGCCCCATAGTACTTCTCTCGCGTCCATACGTTTGCTTGCTCAGGTGTCACTTGGAGAAGATGGTGAGCTTTGTCACCGATTACCAGCTTGTGTAATCTCCATCAGGCTTCTTAGACCCACTGTAAATACAGACCGTAGTCTTCAGGCCCGCGCAACTTGTTCCTTGTAATATGAGGCAGGTCTAGTCGGAACAAGTGCCTGACAGAATCCAAAATAGCGGGAAGCTCATCGACCAACTTATAACTAATAGCAAGCAAGCAAACTACATAGTGAGGGGATATGCATTCCGTATCACACATCTGTTGTTGAGAGGTACGATACATTGATGAAAGAAAGGAACTTTGTGAGATAAATTGTCAGAGGTCTTTGTAACAATTCGCAATGTTATGTTTGTCATGAGAAGGCTTGACCATATCTCCGTCGTCTCGTGCGTGAACGACCCTTACGTATATACGTAAGCTTAGTCTGTTCTCTCGTAATGTTGAGTCGATATTTAGACGGCGACATTGGGCTTAACTGTAGCAATGTGCATAATGACCTGATTTTTAACTGAAGCTTATCTAGCTTGGGACCAGTGTATCATGCATGGCATTGCTTGGCCGACTTGTGTAATTCCTACCAGGCTGCTGTCTCGTTCCGAGCTTTATAATCACACGTAGTCCGCGTTTCTTACAGGATCTGGGATCCTTCTATATTCAGACGTCGGCCATATGATGAGGATGGAGTATCAATAACGGCAAGAACAATATCTCCTGGATTCCTATCGACAACACGTAGACAAGCGAATTCATCGTGAGGACGCTATATGAGATGACCAGCTGACTCCGAGTGATATGCGAATATCAATATACAACTCTGCCTACGCCTCTATCTACTGAAATATTTTGCCATGACGTTGATCGTCTACTCTATAGTAACGCCCATGTGCCGATAACGAAGAAGCCGGAGCGTCAGCAATCATCCCCGGATGTCAGTCTGTCGAAGCCACCCACTTCGGATTGATACTGAGATATCGCAGTCGCCGCAGTTGCCGGACCCGTCCTTCAGTTCCACGAGAGGATTGACACTGACAAGAATAACCCCTACGATGCCGACGTCTTCGAGGCATTCGACCGGGAGAGACGGACACATCACGAGGACAGTGACGACCGGCTAGCCCAGCTTACTATAGTATATCCTCAAGACTGAGCACGGAGAACGCCCAGGAAACCGAGCCACCAACAAAGCGACGGCGAACTGACCGACGCATATGCAGCACCTCCTGTACCGGGCTGACATCCTTGATCTCATGAAGGGATCAAGATGCGGTCCAAAGCGCGCAGCAGCGAGCTCGGGGACAACCGCAATGCGACGGGCGAAGTTCGCTGTCCCCGTGGCAGTAGGAGTGCTTGAACTGGGCCGATTTCTCGCGGATGTCGTCTTAACCAGACAGATGCCGTTACTGAAGGATTCGCTTATCGTTCTACTGTTCTATCCTCTGAGTGACTGGGAGGGAGACGAGATTTACTGGGAGGGAGACGAGATTTACGTGGAGGGAGCGCCATCGAGCGAGGAGCTAGAGAAGCTTGCGGAAAGTCTGCATGGGAGGCTTGAGACTGAGGATGCTAGATATAGGGTTATCAAGCATGACAATACTGCCAAAGGTGAATCAAAAGGGGATTTCAGTCGTGGGGAGCAGCGGGGAGCGTGAATCTTGTAAGTCAATCAAGCGCTACCATCATTCCGAGTTGGACTATTCTGGGTCTTCGAGATAAGTAGAAAATATAATTCACACTACTCCCGACGAAGTTCATTAATGAAGCCTGAAGGACTGGGCAGAGTATGTGCGGAAAATGCAATGAGATGTGAGGTAAGATTTGCTGATTAGGAGGGGACAACACTGCCTTAAAAAAGATGCCCCGCAAGAACAGGTCAAAACGTCAAAAACATACAACACCAGGTATTCGCTGGTCGTCACCGACCCAACTACTAATCCGGCCCTCATTGGCTTATCTATGGGAGAGCGGACGGGATCCCGAGTTTTCCAATGGGTATGGTCGTATGTGCAAGAGTGAGCATGCTAAGTTGAAAATATTCACAGACAGCTGTATTGAGTTACACCCGTAGTCTGCGCTGAAGGTTTGGAAGGCGAATGCTGACAACAACTTCGTAGCAGGCTTCTGGAAGCAAGTCACTGGAAAACGGGGAAGATGCAACTCTAGGGTCTCAGCGGCAGAGAAGCGGGCCAGCTAAGGCAGAGTGTCATCATCAATGGTTCGATAAACCTTGGATGGGTTGTGTCCTAGATGCATGCGGTTCCCGAGCTAATAGAACGGGGACACAATACATCTGACAGTGTTTCAAGGGCAAGATCTTCAGACGATGAAGGATGTCCATGTCCGTGCCGAGTAAGTGCCTCTGCCTTGCCTTGCCGTGCTGTACATTTGATCGCTGCGCAAGCAATGGCGACGGTTCCTAAACTGGAGAAAACTGGAAACTGAGGGGAGGGGCCGGACCATGCAAACCTGGGCAAGAGGGCCGATGCGAGACCGATGCGGTGCGGTTCGGGTTGCAGGGCATGAAGAACGAGGGGTTAAAAAGAGAATTTTTTTTCTTGGACGACGTGATGGTTGTTACGCTCGGTCTAAGAGCCTCGGAGTTCGAGGCTGAAGAGAGAGACTGCGAGAAGGGGCCAGCCGCCAGCTGCTTGTGACATGTCGTTACGCGGGGCGGTCCCATTGTGGATATCCGCCGGGAGGGGCCATCGTTCGGAGGACCGACGCGGCGATGCGAGGTTGAAAGCGTGGGATGCCATACCATATCTTGGTCGCAGTCGATCTACTGTGTACGGAGTAGCAACCGCCAGTCACTCAGTCGGAGTTCAGAGTATGGGGTTGGTGGGAGAGAGATGGGCTGCAAGGATGTGATACCTAGAAAAGGTCTCACGTCTCTTGTTTATTCCCTCTTTCTTCTTACGTATCGATGTGCGTCTGGCGAGGCGAAACTGTCCAGTTGTACAGGGTCTAAATGTCGACATGCTTGTCGCTGACGAGATGCGCACATGCGGCACGAACGAAATCTGTGCGAATCTTATTTAGTTTGTTCGCTTGTCTCTGGTCTCTGCGGAGCTTTGGCCGGGCCTTGCACCTGCTCCCCAACGTGGGTATGGCGAGGACAGGAAGCTCAGCCACGATGTACGCGAACACCATCACCAATAACACGTGGTTATGGTGGTGAGAATGAAGCCTCGTAGTTGTGTTTGGATTTTCCGCGATGCGGTGGCTTGGTGACTGGCCTGCCTGTCAGCCCTTACTACGTAGTCTTCCGTTACCCTAGCACGCCTGGTAAGCTGCTTGCTGCCCTTGCAGTTCTGCAGTCAGACGCATGTGCCTGTGCCTTTTTGTGTTCCCATAAGACTCTTCCGTGCCTGTGCCTGTGCTCGCTCTAGCTGCTTGGTGAATGGTATTGGTAGTACGACTAGGCAAATTCCTGTCGGCGAAAAGCAAATTGGAAATGTCAACATCGGGATGCATGGCCGTTTTGCATCAAGCTAGACTGAACAAGCTTAGCGAGTCAACGCCAGAGATGGCCGTGGTGTTGTTGAAGATGGAGCTATCAAACGATGAATCGTCAACGAGCAGAAGGGGCTAATCCTAATTAGAACTTGACCAAATCAACTGCAGTTCTGGATGCACGCCTCGGGGCAAGCGCAGCGTCTCATCCTGGATGACGCCCTGGCCAAGTCTGGGGACCTGAGAAGCCAGGCGCACTTACTGCACAGTATATGCCGCCGAGTGAAAGAATGATTCTCTGCAGCTGCCGTCGTTGCAGAAAAGCCCCAAAGAGTATCCGCAATCTTTCCGCAACTGGCGGGGTCATGCGATTCGCCTTCCGTGATAGAGTGAGAGATGAGGGGCAGAGGCGAGCGAATATTGCCCTGACGTAAGAAGCCCTGCCCTACCAGAACTTTCCTTCTTCGACGAGAAACCGCTGGAGTTGCACGGGGTCTTTTTACTTGAGGGACTTCGAACTGACGCCTGACGAATGGGTCTTGTTGTCGTTCGAGCTTGAGTTGCTGTGTGACAACTGGTCCCCTGAACTTGTATTGAATCTCCTGCTTCAATGACCAAGATCATGAGCGAAATGTCGAATAAGCGCCTCAGGGCTGCCGATTGCGCTCCTCGGATGGCTGGCTTGCACCGCCTGTTCAGCCTATTTGACCCTTGAACTTCTTCTGGCTGCCATGACACGCAGCATGCTTCTAATTGCCGCGTTGCTGGCCTCAAGAAGCGTCTGCGGCCCGGTCCAGTGGATCCTCAATATATGGAACACGAAGCATTCTCGGAGCACTAGAAGCAAAGTACAAGGCCTGCCATGTTATCAAGTACCTCGATCTCTGCATCTCTCCGTGTACTGACTCCTGCCAACCTGCTTGTCACTTCACATGTTTTACGTCAAATACCTCCGTACTTGAGACAGGCGACGCCAAGGTACGGAAGGGGGTAACCGCGGGGCTGGAGGGGGAAAAAGTCTCTCACCACGTTGAGCCGTTTCCATGTCTCAGTGCAGACGAGCTTGAGCTGTCTCGAGAAAGCTTTGGTGGCCTATTCAGATACTCTCTTTGCTTGCAATAAGGGAGCTATCCGTCGTGCAAGGCTGATGCCGCGACAGTCGGATAGACAGGCATCAAACGCTTCGTTCCGAGATGCCGTCCGTCTTGCTTTGGCCAGGTAGCGATCCAGCTCTGAGCCAAAGCTGAGCAGAGAAGCAGGACGGAAGACTCTTTTCGTCTGTTTGAATATCTCATCACTCCGATGGAGAAAAGTGTGTGCGAGAGCTCGGCAAGGTACAGCTGGGTACTTGTCGCAAGTCAAACTTGCCTCTTGAAAGTATCCATCGAAATGGTACCTTTGATGGAGGGGCAGATTGATAAGGTACCTTTTGGCTTTCAGCCCCGCTTGACTGTACTTGGACCCCACCAGACATTCCGAATGAGGTGGGCGAAGACGATGCGATGCGAAAATGTTCAGGCAGGAACGTACCGATGGATGGAGGGGGTGAGGGGGAGGGGGGACCTGGGAAACGCCATTTCCCATCTTTTGGTGGTGATGGTACCATAAGTAAGATTTGCCTTCCTTCTCACCGGGCACACAACGGAAGGTGAGGTGGTGAGGTTCCTGCCCACCCACACAGTAGAGCACCGTCCCCCTCCAACTCGATCCATCAATCACAGCAGCACCACGAGTGTGTTTCTTCCTGCATGTTTCTTGTCAGTCGGGCATTGTGCTTGTACGACCTCACTGCATTCCGGACGCAGGGTCCGTCGCAACCTTATCTACTTTACCAGGCCTACCGGGGTCCTCTCCTCTTCCATTGTGTTGATGTTTTGTTGCTGTGTGAAGCTTCAGCTCAAGCGATACAATACCGAACAGATGTCTTTGGCAAGCTTGGAAACATGGCAGCCGACTCAATAGGCCCAGCAGACCATCCAACCGACTTGTCAGGGTTATCGGTGTCTCAATTTCCCTGGCGCGATATGTCGTTGATCTCTCGCCTCACCTGGGTATGTAGCGAGCTGCTAATTACCTTAGCTTACAGAGAACGTTTGCTACTTGTACTTGTACACCTCGTCATGCCGCTGCTAGAACAAACGAGACAATTCTTCAACGCCAAGGCAAACGTGTGCTAGTGCAGACCGAGGTGAAGAGAGATACGCCAAGTTTGCGAACGCGCCGAGTCCGCAGTCGAGGCGAGGCGAGGCAAGAAGAGGAAGGGTCGTTGGCGCAGCGCCAGATAAGCATGATAACGATAGCAGTACCTTGTCTCCAAGGGTCCTGGCTTCCAATCTTAATTGTTCGGAATACGGCAACATCATCACATTGTTCAGTCGAGAATACCACAGAGCAGATGACTCGATATTGAAGAGTTATACAGGCAGATCAGCACGCAGACAGCTTGAAGCAAGACTAAGTACGGATACATGCGCTCATTCGGAGGGATAAATCTTCGGAAACCTGGATCGGGCTGGGCATTGCACCGAATTGACTGCGCGCGCAGCCCGCACACTCCCTCTTCCCCAACCCAAGCCACCGGTTGTCACACAAGTCCAGCTCGCACACTGCCAGTCTGCGCCGCCACCGGTGTTCGTTCCTGGGCTCTTTCCCACCGGGGGTTTCGGGCGTCTCGTTACTGTTACTGTCCAGGGAAGGTAATGCAGACGGGGAGAGTGAGCGAATGGTCTTTCCTGTCCGAGGTAGACGCCGGACAGCGGGTGGCTATACTTGGCCTGGGATGTTGCTACTTGTTGATGCGCGTCCAGTTCCAGTCGCAGTCGCAGCAGTTCAGACCAGAACTTGTACTCGTAGCACCAGTCCCCTCCCATCCCGCGTCTAGGAAGTAGTCGGGTGTACATCCATTCCCTCCATGGTCTATGGTCCATGAACCTGTGGTGTATGAGTATGACTATGATCCCACCCTTCAACGGATACCTAGCTCGTTTTCGCCCTTGGTCAATGGTCTGGCTGTATGGTGTGTTGCGACGTCAGTGGGGATTTAATATTAAATCACTCCCCCGTACCTTTTTTTGCCTATGCCGCCGTTAGTCTGCTCCTATCATCTGCAGGGCAGTGGGAATAAACAGAAGAAGAGAATTAAGAAAAAAAAAGATAAACGCCCCTTCCACCACGGCACCACCTCGACCTCTGGACCCTCTTCTTGCTGTTACTGCTGCTGCTGCTGCCTCCCGTTCGTCTCCGTCCCAACATCTTTTTACCCACTGCCTCCCTCTCCTGATTTCTTCTCATTCATAGCTTCTTCCCTCCTCTCTTTTTCTTACTCCCACCTACTCTTCCTTCCTCGTCCTCCTGATCCTCCCAAACTCTCTCCAACACACACTTTGGTCCTTCACGGAAAGACGACCACCCTCTACCAATAGGTGCGTTGGGCCCGAATTCACTGCCCCTCCCCCTCTTCTTCCCGTCCCCTCCTTGGTGCTGGAACATCCTTGTCCTGATTCTGCATGTTGGGCACCTTTGGCGACCTGTTTGCCAGGCGCGTTGAAACGGCGGTGAATGGTGTTTGGGAGTTCAAAAATAAGTCTTTCTGGCTAACCCTTCAGTCTTTTCGTAGACTTCAATTCTCCCAAAATCACAGTCTGTTCGATCGCGCCGCCCAAAATGGCTTCCAGACCTGAGAACATTGGCATCAAGGCCATCGAAATCTACTTCCCCAACCAGGTTGGTCTCACCATGCTTTTTTTTTGCGCCACCGCCAAATTGCTGGAAGAGGGAGAGCGAAAGGGGAGAGAGAAAAAAAAATCCGCGCTCTGCCCCTCAGCGCCGAAATCGCAATCCACACGCCAGCACTGCCAGAATTACCCCTCCTCAATCTCCCACCCCAGGCTCGGGCGGGTTAAAAGCCCGCTCCTTGTTGAAGCTCTCACAAGATTCTGAGAGCATTGTACTGACCTGTTTGCTTCCCGTCGTCTAGTATGTCGAGCAAACCGAGCTTGAGACTTTCGATGGCGTCAGCGCCGGCAAGTACACCATCGGCCTTGGTCAGACCAAGATGGCCTTCTGCGACGACCGCGAGGGTGAGCTCCGCCTGCTTCTCCCTAAACCCGGTGCTTGCTCTAATCTGTCGCGCTTTTTGTAGACATCTACTCCTTCGCTTTGACCGTCACCTCCAACCTGATCAAGAAGTACAACATTGACACCAACTCCATTGGTCGCCTCGAAGTCGGCACTGAGACTCTCCTGGACAAGTCCAAGTCCGTCAAGACTGTGCTCATGCAACTCTTCGGCGAGAACACCAACATTGAGGGTGTCGACACTGTCAACGCCTGCTACGGAGGTACCAACGCCTTCCTTAACTCTGTCAACTGGATCGAGTCTTCCGCCTGGGACGGCCGTGATGCCATTGTTGTCGCTGGTGACATTGCCCTCTACGCCAAGGGTAACGCCCGCCCCACTGGAGGCGCTGGCGCAGTCGCCATGCTTGTTGGCCCCAACGCTCCCGTTGTTCTGGAGCCTGGTCTGCGTGGTACCTATATGTCCCACGTCTACGATTTCTACAAGCCCGACCTCACCAGCGAGTACCCCTACGTCGATGGTCACTACTCCTTGACCTGCTACACCAAGGCTCTGGATGCTGCCTACCGCGAGTACAACAAGCGTGAGGCCAAGCTCGCCAAGGCTGCTAACGGCCACGCCAACGGCAACGGAGCCACCAACGGAGAGTCCAAGATCCCCAAGACCAGCCTTGACAGATTCGACTACTTCTCCTTCCACGCTCCCAACTGCAAGCTCGTCGCCAAGTCGTACGCTCGCCTGCTCTACCACGACTACCTCGCCGATGCCGACTCACCCGTCTTCGCCGAGGTCGCCCCCGAGCTCCGCGACATGGACTACGAGAAGTCGCTGACCGACAAGGTCGTCGAGAAGACCTTCATGGGTCTCACCAAGAAGAAGTACCAGGAGAGAGTCGCTCCTGGTGCCCAGGTCGCCACTCTCCTCGGCAACATGTACTGCGGTTCCGTTTGGGGCGGTATTGCCAGCTTGCTCTCCTACGTTGACGCTGCCACTCTCAAGGACAAGCGCGTTGGTGTCTTCAGCTACGGCTCCGGTCTGGCTGCTAGCTTCCTGTCTTTCCGCATCAACGGAGACGTCACTCCTCTCGCCAAGGTGCTCGACATTCCCGCCAGACTCGAGGCCCGCACCAAGCTTGCCCCCGAGACCTACGAGGCTGTAAGCAATTTCCTTCCCCAATGCAATGCCTTACTGACAACATTTCTCCAGTTCTGCGACCTCCGCCACCAGGCTCACCTCCAGAAGGACTTCACCCCCAAGGGTGACGCCTCCACCATCACCCCCGGTACATACTACCTGGAGAAGGTTAACGACAAGTTCCAGCGTTCCTACAGCGTCAAGGCATGAAACCGACAATGACTTTTTTGATCTTGGAATTGCGAAACAAATAGAGGTGGCTGCATAGATCCTGCGACAGCATGAGAGCTGAAGGAGCACGGCCAGCATTACGTACTTTAATCAGAGGAGGAAATACAGAGACGCCGCCGGCCACGACAGACGGAGATTCTGTCGTGAGAGAGGAATCGGCGCTTGGAATGCACCTCGCAATGGGGGCATTGTATATACCGGGCCAGATAGCCGTATTTGAGCGTCCACTAGGACGAATGAAGCTGGAAGAATAGACGAATGAATTGAATCATGTTATATTACTCTCAGATTCCCATGTGCCGCAAGTCTTTGTGACTAAATGTTTCAAAAATTCGTTTTTATAATCTCGCGTCTATGCCAAAATGCCCAAGGCCCCCCTTTTGCGGTTGGCTGTGATGCTAATGATGCTACACTACTAATACATGCCACACATGGCAATCTATGGGTAATATACGCGGCCGTTTCCGACATGATCTACGCCCGACAATGAGAATCACTAGTCACATCCATAAAGTGATGCGGCCTCACCTTCCTACTCGTACATTCCTACTTCTCTTCATTTGTCACCCTTCCACTTCCACTCGGCCCGGCGGTGCAAATGGTAATCCTTGCTCTGGATAGCCTTGTAGATACCATACAGACCGCCAATGGGCGGCTTGGACTTTACGACATCGCGCCAG